CATAGTAGCCCGAGCTGACAAAGATAGATGGATAGCATGAAAGGGACAGCTGTAAAAGTGAGGGGGGAGAGGGGGCTAAAAATATTAAGTCATAAGAGGAAACCTGGAGTGAAGATGACAGGAGAAATTTCAAAGTGTCTCCAAAGCTGTGTTCTTAGACTAATGTTCACAGCTCAAAAGTCAGAGCCCCAAGACTTTTTCTAATGACAAACGACTTGGCTTCTCCTGACGTCTTGGCTCCAACAGAACTGTTGGACTCTGTCATAAAACTCATCTGTGATGACAGACAGGTACCACCTGTGTTCAACTGGTTGGATTAATATGAGTGAACTTGGTGAGAACAAATCTCAGTCATTTAAGAGGAAAGAGTTGGAATGGGCTAGAGGTGGGAGAAGGGAGACACTATGGGAAGATGGAGGGGGCATGGGAAGGGAGGGCAAAAGAAGCGGGGAGCAGAGGGAGAGAGGAAGTTGGTGGGAGGTGGAGGGCAGAAAGGAGCTCACATCACCTCCAGCAACCCTGCTCACACCAGGAGGGGTTTGGAGAGGTTATTCAAAGTGAATTTGTTTCCTTTTTTTTTTTAAGATTGACACCTGAGCTAACTGTTGCCAATCTTCTTTTTTTTTTCCTGCTTTTTCTCCTGAAATCCCCCCAGTATATAGTTGTATATTTTAGTTGTGGGTCCCTCTAGTTGTAGCATGTGGGATGCCGCCTCAGCATGGCCTGACAAGCAGTGCCATGTCTGCGCCCAGGATCTGAACCACCAAAACCGTAGGCTGCTGAAGCGGAGCACGCCAACTTAACAATTTGGCCACAGGGCCGGCCCCGAATTTGTTTCTTAACTTCTCCTTTTTCTTTTAAATGAGTAATTATATTTTGAATATTTGAAAATCTCTCCCTTGGCACCACTTTTCTTCAGCTGGATTTCAACAGGTCTGTCAGTCATCTGGGAGGGACGACTGTGGGCAGTGCCCACACACAGATGGGTCTTGCCAGTGACTCTCCACAAAGTGCTCAGCAGGAATGTTGCTAGTATCTTGCACTGCGATTTTTCTTTTCCCACTACTGCTGCTGGTAGAAGCCTGGAAGACTCTGGGCCATGAGTGTCCTGGAATGGAGAGGCTGGCTGGGAGGGGGAGGATGGAGGAAGGGGAGGGGCTTCACCCAGGTTTCAGCAGGTGAGCGCCTGTCCATGTGCTCTCACCACCGGGAGGGTGTGGTTTAGATGGACTGGCTCCCAGGTGTCGCCTACACCGAGTTCTGGGGGGTGGACGCCAGCCTCAGGCACCCCGCCTGGCACTGTGCTCACAGGTGGCAGCTCTCCCTCTCCTGCCAGGTCCCACCTTCAGCTCCAAGAAGCCTTTCCTGAGTTCCCAAGACCCATCATGAATTTGGCTTGTGTCCCATGGTATCATTTTTCCCTTTTTGTTGAAAGTCCTGTCTGTTCAGCTACATTTTAAGTCCCAGGAGAACAAAAACTGTACTTTTTGTACCTCAGAACTTAGTAGATGTTGCTAAAATGTTTGTCAGATGAATCCTCCTGGCAACAGTACATGTATCTGAGGGGTCCATGGTATCATCTACTTCACATCAAAGTATTTTAGTAATTAACCTCAGCCAGGTAAAAGTGAGGACAAGGATGCAGAGGACGGAGGGGGCTGGGATGGGGACTCCTCCCCCTGCAGCCAGGATCTTCAGAGGGAGTCCCAGGGCCACACCTGCATCTTTCTCTCACAGATGCTCACTCTCTGTGCTTCAACCTCACCATCAAATCTCAGTCAAGACCTGGACAGCCCTGGTGTGAAGTCCAGGGCTCAGTGGATAGAAAGCCTTTCCTTCAGTATGACAGTGACAACAACACGGTCAGACCTTTGGGTCTCCTGGGGGAGAAGATAAACACCACCAATGCCTGGACAGACTTGACCCAAATGCTGGGAGAAGTGGGGCAAGAGCTCAGGATGGTCCTGCCTGTCATCAGACTGGAGAAGAACAGGACCAGGGGTAAGTATGGGAAGGGGGAGGGGAGATGGGGACAGTCAGCAGGAGAGGAAGGAGCAGGGCACACGCAGGGAAGGGGCTGGGCTAACAGAGCTGAACAGGGGTCCAGCCTTAGAGACGAGGTGACCTAATGGGCAAGAAAGGGCAGGTCACGGAGGAAAGAATACAGGCCCCTCAATGAGCAGAGACACACTTGACCTGCTGGGAGAAGGTGGAGCTCTCAAGAGCTGGATGGATCGATTGATTGCTTGATTTCTGGGGGACTTCCTGTCTGGAGAGTCAGTGACTGCCACAGAACTTCCCACCATCCTCCTTTCCCGTCCCCCCCTCCTTCATTGCAGGATCCCCATCCCCCATTGACCAATGGTCCAGTCACCCTAGTTGCTATATGATCCCCCAAATTCTATGCATCGTTGTGCTTTCAGGCCTTCTCTTCTTCCTCTGTTTTAGTTATCCTGTAACCAACCCAAATGACACTTCTCATGAAGCCTTCACCCCTTTCCCAGACAAAACTAAGCACCCCCAATTCTGTCATCCTCAAAAAGGTCTACCCACAGTGAACATGTCACCCCGTATGGGGATCAGATGGACACTTGCTGTCTCCTTCAGCACAAACACGAGCTCCATGAGGACAGGGCACAACCCCTGTTCATCTTTATCCCTCAGGACCTGATAGAGTGGCTGTCACCTACTGATTCAGTAGATATGTGGGGGGACATGTGCTGCCTGGGAAAGCAGGTGTGAGGAAGGTATGTGTATTCTTCGGTTTGACGGGGCTTTTGCTTTTTTCTTTGTTTTAGTACAATCAGTAAAGGCCCCAGACACCCTCCAGTCTTCATGCATCCAATTAATTGCATGGATCGTCTCATCACTCTTCTCCTAAGTCCTAATTGGCATCATCGTCATGAATCTTGGGAGATCAGGTACCAGGAAAGGTGAGGAGCAGGCTGGCGTCTGGCTCTTGGGGAGGACATAATTTGATGAGGACTTGGGAGAGGTGAGCCATGGTCTCACCCCAGCCCTTGTCCACTGCTCCATCTCTACATGGAGATGACCCACTTTCTTAGTCTTGAGCCCCGACCCTCCACGGCAGCCACATGAAATCATGTATGTGAAAGTGTTTGGCAAACTTTGAAATCAGATATAATTGTTAGTTAACATTCATAGGTGTTTATTTTTCATATAAATCCTTATTTTAATAACTAGTATTTAGGAGGTTTAATGATACCTTTAAAAGTCATTTTAATCACAGGTGAAAGTTTCTGCCCATAACAAGCCTACCCATGGGGTCTGAGTCTAAGGCAAAAAGGAATCCTTATGCTGCTTCCAGGGCATCTGAAGTGGCCGCAGCTGTGCGGTGACTCTCTCGCAGGTGGGAGATCCTCCAGCCCACAGTGGTGCAGCCCAGACACGGCCTTCAGGGCTAGGAAGTGTCAAAGTCACTCAAATACACACTCTCAGAAACTCTATAATTTCTCCTTTTCATGGAATGGCAAGAAATATCAGGCTAATTTTTTTTTCTTTGTTTCTATTTTTACCTTCTAGTTCCACCTCCTATCTGTTCTGGACCTGAACGAAATGGGTTCCTAAATGTCAGCTCTGGAAATAAAAAACAAGGTAGCAGAGACTGCTATCTTCCTATGCAGTTCTTTATTCTACTGCGACTAAAAAATATAGACTATTAACAATAGGCAATTCACAACTTTCAGGTATCCAATCAAAACATTTTTGCGACCCACCCGTGGCCTAGTGCTATGAGGTTCTGCACCCTCTGCTTCAGTAGCCAGGTTGGTTCCTGAGCACGGACCCACCCCGCTCTGTTAGTGGCCATGCTGTGCTGGCAACCCACATACAAAAAATAGAGGAAGATTGGCATGGATGTTAGCTCAGAGTGAATCTTCCTCAGGAAAGAAAAGAAAAATGTTTTCTGGACATCCTAAAAAGCAAGGAAATGTGAGAGAAAAATGAATCAATAGAACTGCCTAGAAATAAAGATACAGAAGCTGCTCACAGGGAGGTGGAGCTCTCGGGTGTAGCCTCCACGGGGTTGAACATTTTATATAGCTTATCACGTCATTTAAAACACTGCTCCTCTAGATCCACACGATCTAAGCTGAGGGCTTCTGCAGGGGTTACAGAGATAACTCATGTTCCCATAATTGGCTGTGCTCAGATGTTTTGTTATGTTCGTGGAAATCTGAATGAATGAGACTCCCAATTTTTGTATTTTTCAACAGCGCTGCCCGCCTTGTGCTACTCAAATACATCTCGGGAACCCAGTGTGGAAACAGTTAGGGACGTTGGAGGTGAAGGACTGGAGACAGCGTCTGGTGGTTCCCCAGTAAAGCGTGTCCCTTCTCTGGAGCAGGGCCCGAGGTCACAAGGATTGGTGGAGGACCGCCTGCCCCCAAGTGCCCGTGCCCCTTTGAGCTGACACCCGAGCAGGTCTGGCTGGTAATAAAGCCCAGTGGGCCTAGACAGAAACGCTGCCCTAACCCGGAGGCCGCGGGGACAGACCGCTCTCTGGGCTGCACCCGCGGGAGCCGGCTCTCCCTCCGCCCGCCTCGGCCGCCCTCCCAGCCTGGGAGGAGCCTGCGGAAGGGGGGCCGGTGGGCGGGGTCAACCCGAGCACCGGGGCGCAGGGGCGGCCTGGGCGGGGCTCCGCGCGTCCCCGCCCCCGCGGCGCCGCTGTTCGCCCCGCTGGTGCTGATCCGCGCTCAGGCCTCCTGTCGCCGCCGAGCGCGCCTCGCGGCCGGACAGAGAGGCGCGGGCGCGCCCGGAAGCCTCGGCAAAGGCCCGGCCGGGCCGGCTATGCCTCCTGCTGCAGCGCTTCCCGCCGGCGCCCGCGCGCCCGCGGCCTCGGAGGCGCAGCCGGGCCCCGGGGAGGCCGCGCTGTGAGCGCCGGGCCCCGGCCGCCGCGCCGCGCAGGAGGCCCCAGGCCGCGCTCGCCGCCCTCCTCGCGCGGCGGCCCCGCCTCGGCTACCCCGCAGCCGCCGGCCGCCATGGCCTCGGGCGCCCGGGGCAGCGCGGGCTCGGGGCGCGGGCGGCCGCCGCGGCACCGGGCGCTGCGCGGGCTGCTGCTGCTCTGCCTGTGGCTGCCGAGCGGCCGCGCGGCCGGCCCGCCCTCCCCGCCGCTGTCCGCGCTGCGCGCCCAGCTCGCGGGCGTGGAGCGGCTGCTGGAGGAGTTCCGGCGGCAGCTGCAGCGGGAGCGGCCGCCGGAGGAGCCGGAGCCGGAGCCGCGCGCTGGCGGCGGCCCCCGAGAGAGCTGCCCGGGCCCGGGCGGCGGCGGCGGCTACAGCGCCAGGCCGGACGCCATCCTCCGCACCCGGGACTCCCTGGCGGCCGGCGCCAGCTTCCTGAGTTCGCCGGCGGCCGTGCGCGACTGGCGGCAGTGCGTGGCGGCCTGCTGCGCCGAGCCGCGCTGCTCGGTGGCGGTGGTGGAGCGCCCCCGGCGGCCCGCGGCCCCGGCCGCCGCGCTGGGCTGCTACCTCTTCAACTGCACGGCGCGCGGCCGCAGCGTCTGCACGTTCGCGCCGCACCGCGGCTACAGCAGCTACAGCCTCCGCCGCGCCCGGGCCGGCGGGCTCCATGCCCCGGCCACCGGCGCCGCGGCCACCGCGCGGGCCCCGCCTCGGCCGGGTAAGCGCGCCACTGAGGGCGGGCTGGGTCGGGCCCGCGCTGGGGGACGGGGCCAGACGCTTGGTCCTGCCGTCCTTGCACCTGTCGGATGGCTGCATCCGGGAGACGCGCCTAGGCAGGAGCGCGGGGCCCTTCTCAGCCAAGCTAGGAATAGAACACCCTCCCTCCCAGTTATCGTAGCTGCGGGCGTCCAGAAGAGTGGCTTTGATTTCTCAGTCTAGGGATGGTTTCTGAAAAATCCCAGTAGATCTGGCAGAGGCCAGCACGGTGGGCTGCTTCTGGAATTTTTCTGGGCTTGGGGATAGCGGCTGATCTGAGAGGATTCACGGAAATTCTATTTAAAGGAGAAAAGCTCAGAGCCAAAAAAAAAAAAAAGCCCAAAAACGTTTATTTTGGTCTCAGATTTTTATAGGCGTGGTTTGTGTCAAGTAATTGCAAGAGCAAAATCTAGTTAGGTGCCAGATGCTCCTAACACACCCGTTTCTGAGCTTCTCTCTCATGACTCATAGTCCAACCTCTGCTTGCTTTCATCAGGCGAAAATGGGAAGGAGAAAGTGTCAGGCATTTTTGAAGTGGATCCAACTGATTCCTGTGAATTATTGTTCCCTTTTATAAACAGTAAAAAGGAGGGACTTGATTTTTATTGAAAATAAGGAAGTTTAAGGCACGTCTATTTTTGAAAAGAGTGACAAATGATACATTTCATTCAATGGTTTTACTTTCTGTGGGTGCTCAGAATGAGAATCAAGACACATACAGGAGGCTCAAAAAAAACTGTGGCAGTTGGAGACTAAGGTCACTATGGAATAAATCTTGATTGGGCCCATGGGTATTGAGCTCAGTGTGTGGGATTGCTCTCTGTTGCTGTTTGATGTATAACAACACAAGGGTGATGTCACAGCAAGATTAGAGGGGGTAGCCTCAGCCCCTTGGGGAATCTGGAGTCTCCATGACCTGCGGGTCCAGTGAGAAGGGTCTGGAACTCTGTGTCCACAATGGCCTGCCTCCCTACCCACCTCCAACCAGGAGGAGGCTCAGCACTCTTGTCAGGGGGCAGGCATCCAGAGGTCACCCTGTGACCATTCAGCCTTGAGGCAGACACAGGGAAGGACCTGACGTTTTCTCCCGGAGGGGAGCAGGAGGCCCTTTCACCTGGACCCCCACCAGCATCCCCGAGCCCACCCCATGGCTGTCACACACACATCCTTTCTCTCTGCCAGACAGGGACCCAAAAGTCCCAGCAGCAAAGAGACAAAGTCCCTTTCTCTTGTGACTGCATAGTGGGAAGAAACCGACATTGCGAAGGGAGTTTTCCTATAAACCAGAGAAAACCAAAAGGAAACCTAAGGAGACAAGAACATGCCCATAGAAATTAAAAAGGTTAGTTCACAGGGTCGACCCAGTGGCGCAGTGGTTAAGTTCACACGTTCCGCTTCGGCGGCCCGGGGTTCACCAGTTCAGATCCTGGGTGTGGACATGGCACCGCTTGGCACACCATGCTGTGGTAGGCGTCCCACATAGAAGGTAGAGGAAGATGGGCATGGATGTGAGCTCATGGCCAGTCTTCCTCAGCAAAAAGAGGAGGATTGGCAGCAGATGTTAGCTCAGGGCTAATCTTCCTCAAAAAGAAAAAAAATTCACTAGTAGAAGCTTCTGAGTCATTTTTTCCTTCTATCTCCTTTGCCCTTCCCTTCCCTAGGGGGAGTTTGTCTAGGAATTCAGTTTTGGAGATGGTCAGGGGGAAGACAGGTCACCACTGGGGTTGGTCCCCTTCTGGAAAAACACTGCCATGCTGGCACTTCTTCAGATCCCCAGCAACGGGGAACATGGGAGGGTGCAGCTCAGGCCCGGAGGCGCCCTCTTCCTGCTCTGCAGATGGGGCACAGGTTACCCTGTTCGCTGTCCTGTGTCCTGCTCTGCAGGTGGGGCACAAGTTACCCTGTTCACTGTCCTGTGTCCTGCTCTGCAGATGGGGCACAGGTTACCCTGTTCACTGTCCTGTGCTTTCCCTGCCCAGATGCTTGACCAGTTGAAGTTCTTTATGCTTCTGAGACCACTAAGATTTTCCTTGATGATTTTTCTTTTCTGGATCTTGTGACATGTGGAGTTAGAGGCTAAAGGAGCATGAAAATGGTCTAGAAAAGCTCTTGTAGAGAACTTGTTAGGGGTCCATTTGAGGTGTATAAAAGGATGAAGAAATAGTGAGGGGACAGGTGGGATGGGATAGTGCAAATTTATAGGGGAACCCACCAGCCCTGTTTATTGCCAACGGGTATTGAGTTTGGTGCTCAGCAGTGTTATAAGCTCCTTACACAGAGGAACTCCCTCTGTCCTCACAACGCTCAGAGATCTAGGTTCTGTTATCATCCCCAGGGTACTCAAAGGCGTGGTGAGAGAAAGTAACTTGTCTTGGGTCTCACAGCACAGGAGCCGTGGAGCTGCGTCAGGGGAGTTTGTTATGGAGCAGCTAGAATGCTTTCTCCAGCAGCGCCAGGAAACCTGGAAGCAGAGAAGAGGACGGTTGGGTTTCCCACAGTGGTACTGGCCAGGTGGCTGTCGGGGATGGTAGGAGAACGCGGGAATGAGTGGAGGATGCTGGAGAGAGGTGTGTTGGAATGACTGACTCTGCCTGCAGTGCTGTGCAGAGAGCAGGGCAGGGGGCTTGAGGTCCTGAGACCTGAGTTTGAGAGCCAGCTCCTCCACATACGGGTCCCTGCTAATCTCCTGGGACTTGAGTGCTCCCCTTGCCTTCCAGCCTGGGCTGTCGTGAGGATCGGGGTGGCCGTGCTTTGTGCATTATGAAGGTGGCACACATGTCCGTGATGTCATTACAGGACCCTGGTTGGGTCACATGGCTGCCTTGAGGGGTTGGGGACTGGGTGTCCCCATAAAACTGAAGGGCAGCAAGACGGAGGGAGTGGAGTGGTTAGGACCCCAGAGGAGCTAGAGAATATCATCTGCAAGGGCTCAAGGACAGAACCCTGATGTCGTTTCCACTGGATACCCAGCATGAAACCCAGGATCTCTGGGAGGACCTTGTGTAATTTGGGAAGTCAGGTCCCGCTCTGTGTCAGGGAAAATCAAAGCTGGTAGGCAGCGCCCTGCTTTCCCCACTGCAAAGCCACACACCGCCCCCCAGCCTCTCCCTCATCTCCTCCAAGCGCAGAGGAAGGAGTTGACTCCTGTTCAAGGCTGATCCCTCCGCATGTGCCTGACCAGTCTCCTCCTCCAAGGACCTTTCTCTCTCACATTTTCAACCTCTCACTTTGTGTTGTAAGTAAACATCACAAAAGAATGGCAACAATTACATTTCATAAATAATATTGAGATAACTGGTAGGAGTGTTAAGGAAAATATATTTAGACCTGCAGCTTTGACCACATTAATTTAATTCCAGATAGGTTAAAGAATTAAATAATTTTTTTAAAAATTAAGCCATAGGTTACTCCGTACGTAGGGAGACTTGAAGACAATAAACTTACTGTTACATATCTGGAGGGAAGACAACTTTCTAATCAATTACAGAGATCTCAGAGAGAAAGGATGGATTATGTACATGTTTTAAAAAAATGCTTTATGTCAAGAAATCAAGAGTGTGAGGAAATATGAGATTAAAAGTATTTATTGTATTAATAGAGTTTATGTGAATCAGTAGGAAAAACAAAAATAAATGGGCAAAGGATGTGACAAACAGTTCCCAGAAGAGGGTATTTAGGTGATAAACATGGAAGATGTTCAACCTTAGAAGTGATCAAAGAAATGCAAATAATGCTGAGTTATGCTTATTAAACCGGCAAAAGTAAGTTTCCTCTGATATTGGCATTCATGGAGAACTTAGTATAATCTTATATGGTCACTGGAAGTGTAAATTGGTACCACTCTTTTGGAAACCAATCAGAAAATATGTAGTCCATTAAAATAGTCATTCATTCTTCTGAGATATTTTTCTAGGAAAATGATCCATGTTAAAGAAAAAGTATGACCAAAAAAGTTTATTATGGTATTATTTATAATGATGAAAATGGGACAAAGTAAATCTCCAATAGTGGAGGTGAGGAAATTAAATGGCAACTGAGAAGTTTATGTAGTGACATGGACGATGCTAGCATATGTGAATAAATACCAATAAATAGAATATATTAATAAGTTAAATTCAGGTTGTAAATTTATTTTTACTGTACCTGGAATACACTTGGGGTGCCCCAAAGTGTAGTGAGAAGGGAGAGTCTTTCAGTTAGAAAGATCTGGGCTGACGTCTGAACTGGCAAATTTACCACGTGTGGCCTTAGCAACTCGGTTATCCTCTCTGACCCTGGCTTCCTCGGGAGTGTGATGCAGACGAAAACACCCACCTCAGAGACTTGTGCAAGCTGAGTGAAGCTATGGCTCACGAGCACTTAGCATGGAGCCTGGTACAAAGAAATCATCCGATAAATGGCAGCTGTTCATTATCATTATCGTCAGCTCATCTGGAGAAAGACTAGAACAGCACACACCCAAAATGGTGATAATCATATTGGGGTTGTGAATAATTTTTTCCCAAAGTGTTGCAATTAGGAGAAACAATTAAAAAAACACAAAAACAAACAAAAAACCACAGTGGATTTGGACCTGTAATATCTAAGCCTCTTCCCTTAGTCTGGGCCCACTTCCGTTTCCTGCCTTCAGGAGTCCCTTCTAACTTCTCAGCCTCAGCTGTCTCATTTGTGCCCACACGGTGCCGATCCAGATTCCAGAGCCTCTTCCTTGTGGTGAAGGCTCCGTTCACAGCCGTGTGCTGTATTCCAGTTAGTTAACAATACTGTTCCTCTCTGTATAAGATGCCGCCTTGATTTGCTCCATCAGAATTGAGAGGACTCTTATTTCGCCTCTGCAGAGCTCACCAAGTTGTTTAGTTTTCAAAAGAAATCTGTTTCCGTAGTACTTTACGTTGGATTATTATATTTTTATGATGAAACTTCAGAATTACGTTTATCTTGTTCTTCATCAGCAAGTCAAATATTTTTAAATGACAGGACACCTGTTTCCTCTTCTTGTCGTTTGTTTATTTTTAAGGCCTGTTTCTGGGTGGATAAGCTCTGGCTTATTTTAAAATACATTATACAGTGTCATTTGCCTGGCCTTGAACTGAGAGGAAATGTATCTGTCTTATTTCAAATACAACAGTGATCAATTTAGAGGATATGAGAATTTCACTGTGTCCAGAAATCATATCACACAGCTCACCAAAGAAAAGTAAGTGACTAAAACAATGATTCTTTTTCCTCCAGGAGGGGCAGGATTAATTAGTTTTATAATATGTGGGCTATTTCAGAGCTTCCTTGATTTTTTCCATCTTAAATCTTTGGGGTTAAATCTTTGAGGGCTTAAAATAAATATTATTAGCATTTTTTGCTGTTTATGTTATATGGATATATTTTAGTTTATCTACTTAAAAATATTTTAAAATAAATTTTAATGCAAATTGCTGCTAACTTTAGTGTATTACTGCTGAATTATAAGACGCTTTCCAGAATTATAAGTGGTAAACCATTGTGTGGGAAGCAATGAACCTTCCAGAACCAAAGGAAAGTTCTCTATAAAAGGCCTATTATTAATGCAACTGTCACATCTCCCCTTACCTGGAAGAAGCAGAACAAAGACGTCAGCCCTGGATCTTTCCAGAGGTGGAGAAAGGCAGAATAAATTTTTTCTCAGGCAGGGGGTTACTTATGTGGCTTATTTAAATCCAAGTTACTAGTCCTCGTTGTTTAAATGACTGTAAAAATGGGCCCCATCTTCTCAATAGACGTGTGCTCTTTGGCAACGTCAAGTGTGCTTATTCCTGGCCAGGTGCTCACAAAACAAGTCTTCTCTCTCCGAGGCTGCAGCAGCCTCTTCCTTCAGGAAAGCCCCTGCTCTGAGAGCTGCGAGCCCCTCAGTGCGCTCTCTGCTGTTGGCCCTTGAGGGCATCGCTGGGGGAGAGCCGGGGCTGGACGGGGGTCTCTGAGCATCAGGAGGGTAATGGTGACATGTTGGAGGATTTTTCTTAAGCAGGGGAATGACCCAATCAGATTACATTCCAGAAGAGTCCTTGTAGCTGCAGCAACACCCTTTGTTGTCTTTGTTAATGAGAAACTGGTGGGACTGCAGCCGCCCCAACCTCAGGCCCTGGCCGTCTGGGTTGGCCCTTGGAGGTTTGCTCAGGAGGCAGCTTGGGCTGCGGAAGAAGAGAGACCATTCCTTAGCGACATCGACATCGTTCAGAGTGAGCGGAGGCAGGGCAAGTCCAGGCCAGCGTCTGGACCAGAGCTTTGCGCTGGAGGAGGGAAGAGACAGTGGGTGTCGAGAAGGATGTATTACAAGAATGTAGAGAATTTTTCCCAATCATATTACCAAGTTTCTTTAAGTTATGTGTGCACTCTTAGATAAGTTTACTAATAAGAAGCTTAAATCAATTAAAATATTCACAACTCTGCTCTTGGCAGTGGTGTCTGTACGCAGCTTCTCCCGTCGGTCATCACCAAAGCAGCTGTCAGTCAAGTATTAACGTTTCAGTGCACAGGGCAGCCTTGAATTACTTAGTACCATTCTAGGTCCGAGGTCAATACATGTGTGTTTTGCTGTTGCAGGATATCTCAGACACTCAGTGTGCCAGCTTCTGTTATAAAAACTGTTATTAGAAGTTGTAAACCTCTTCTGTTTTCCTAGATGAAAAGTTAGATTCCAGAGAATTTCTCTATGGACTTTGTTTTGTATGAATCCAAGGACTTGCCTTAACTTTCCAAACTGAATTTATTTCCAATCCTTTGGACAGTTTTTGTCACTCTTATTTTAAAAACTTGATAGTAAGAAAAAGAGAAAATCTGTATCAGAGGTGAACTTCTTTTTCTTTTTAAAGTTTGTTTCAAAAATTCTTTTCTTTTTTTGATAAATTCATATAATAGGACTTTGAACTTAAGTCATTTATAAATTAAGTGAAAATTTCACCGTAGAGAGTAAAACTCCTTCTCCACATTGGAGGGCCTGGTGTTCTCTCCGGTTTCCACAACTTTGTCCTGGCCACTGCTGACAGCTCCCTCTTCTGCATGCGTTGTAGCCAAATTCCATATTCATAATCTGTTGCTATTTTATTTTCTGTTACGTAACCAATGAGAAAATAACCTTCAGTCGCTATACATTCCCTCAGCAGCACTTGCTGGGCTACACCTATTCTAGCAACAAGATACTTCTCTTAATAAATCAGAAAAGAATAGGGAATAATCTCTCCTGAGAATTATTTATTTCCTTTGACAGAAAAGGATGAGCCTCCACTTAGCAAGGCCGGGCAGGATGTGGTTTTGCATCTGCCCGCGGACGGGGTGATTCTGGATGGCCGCGAGAGCACAGATGACCACGCCATCGTCCAGTATGAGTGGACCCTGCTGCACGGTGACCCGTCAGTGGAGATGAAGGTAAGTCAGTCGTCACTGTAACGGAAAGGAGTGTTTCAGTGGAGCGGTCTTTCATAGTGTCTTTCCACTTACGTTTCCACAGCGTCTGTCAGCCAGCAGAAGAGGTATGAAATGGAGAAAGTATAGAAGTGACTGTCCAAAAAATGGTTTATTCTATAATTTACTTTTCTGCTGAGTAAACAGGGATCCTGATCATTTGGTTTGAAGCTTCCCCTCGTTCTTGCTGCTTTTCTGTTGGCTTCTCCAGAATCCAAAAACACTTCAAGGAAAAAGCTCATGCTTTGTTATAATGACTCAGATTACTTTTATTTTTGGCTTTTTTATTGTTTTATTCAGTCATATTGGCTTATAACACTGTGTAGATTTCAGGTGTATATTATTATATTTCGGCTTCTGTATAGACCGCGTCACGTTTACCACCAGTAGTCTCGTTTTTATGTCACCATACACACGTGCCCCTTTACTCCTTTCACCCTCCCCTCAACATCATCCCCTCTGGTAACCACCAGCAGATTACTTTTTAAAAATTTATCCCTTCTTTTCTTAGTTCAAGATCCAGGTAGAAAATGTGAAAAATACAAAGGAGTATAAAGAGGAAAATAACAAGAGTGAATTCATTCTTCACATGATCCAGAAAGCAACCTGGCAGTTAGGGCTGCCTGAGATAATTGAGTCAATAAGTTGGGAGGGGGGTGGCATCGAGTGCTTCTATTCAGGTGCTGGGCACTGGTCCTCATCAGGCTCATCTGGGCTGGGCTGGGCTTGCCTCAGGTGGAGGGAGCTGCTTGTCAGTGGCCGCCTACACACAGGAAGTCTCTTTTTAATTGAGATGTAATTGACAGATAACATTATATTAGTTTCAGGTGCAGAACATAATGATTTGATATTTGTATATATTGTGAAATGATCACAAGTCCAGTTAACATCTGTCAACACCCATTGTGGCAAACTTTTTTCTTATGAGAACTTTTAAGATCTACTGTCTTAGCAACTTTCAAATATACAGCACAGTATTATTAACTATAGTCTCCATGCTGTGCATTGCATCTCATGACTTATTTATCTTATAACTGGGAGTTTGTACCTTTTGACCCCTTCACCCATTTTGCCCCCAGCACCCCCCACCAACATCTAGTGACCACCAGCCTGTTCTCTGTATCTGTGAGTCTAGGGTTTTCTTTTTTTTTTTTTTAAGATTCCACGTATAAGTGAGATCATATAGTATTTGTCTTTCTCTGTCTGACTTATTTCACTTAACATAATACCCTGATGGTCCATCCATGTTGCTCCAAATGGTAAGATTTCCATCCTTTTTATGGCTGAATAAAATTCCATTGCGTGTGTCTGTGTGTTCGTGTGTGTGTAGTACATTTTCTTTATCCATTCATCCATCGATGGGCACTTAGTTGTTCCCATGTCTTGGCTATTGTAAATAATGCTGCAATATATGGGGGGGGGTGCAATATTTTTTTTTGAGTTAGTGTTTTTGTTTCTTTTGGATAAATGCCCGGAAGTGGAATTGCTGGATCAGCACAGTTGGTCTTGAGTCGTGAGGCAAGTGGCTTTTTATTAATCCGGTCAGGACCCTGTCTAGCTAGGAGTATTTTCTGGCTGAGGCAGATACACTTCGTCCAGACCACTTCGGCTGGAGGAGGTGGACTGGCCTGTGCTGGTTTGCGAGGGCTGCCATAACAAAGCACCACGGACGGGGTGGCTCACACAACAGACATTTCTCACAGTTCCAGAGACGAGGACACCAAGATCAAGGTTCCAGCAGGGCTGGCTTCTTCTAAGGCCTCTGTCCTTGGCTTGTAGTTGGCTGTCTTCTCCCTCCTGTGTCTTCGCAGGGTCTCCCCTCGTGGGGACGCACTGATTTATATTCTATTATACAGAATCAGCTAGGCCCTCAAGACTGATTCTAGTACGTTGATTTACTCAGTGACTGTATAGTCTCAGAATGGGACTGGACCCGTGGTCAGCATCTTACCCATCCTCCCATCCACGTAAGAGCCCTTCTCTCACCTCCCCTCCAGGGATCATCCACTCTCTGCTGGATATCTCCAGAGACGAAAGCTCACTATTTCACGTCATGTCCGATGACATCTTTAACCAGCTCTCAGTGTTAGGCAAACAGGATGTGCCTCACTGTTCCTTCTGTGCGTTGGTGCAGGGTCTTCTCTTTGGAAAAGCACTGAGCACACCTCTTTATTCTCTGTAACAGCCTCTTAAGTCTTTGAAGACAATGAAGGTCCCCACTTGGCGTGTGCCTCTCAGAACTCAGCACTCCCATTCTTTCAGATGCTCCTCATGTGAATTGATTTTCAGACCATCACAGCCACCATCCAGCCTCTTGGGATTTTCTCAGATTCCTCCAAGCCCTTCTTAAAGTCTGACACCCTAAGTGAACCCCATACATGAACTGTGGTTCTTCCTGACACAGACTGTTACCGCCTGTGATCCAGACATTGTCTCTACTTCTATTTATGAAGCTTAATTTACATAAATTCTTTTAGTGGCTGCATCACACGATAGATTCATGTTGAGTATTCCGTTAGCAGGATTACCTGAAACCTGCTCATCCTTCTACACGAACCGCTGCCCTGATGGCCTCCCCAGCCCGTGTTTGTGAATTGATTATTGAACCCAGCTCAGGACCTTATATTTATCCTTTTCACATCTCAGCTTTTTGGTTTTCATCTGCAACAGAAATAATTTTGAACCTTGAGTGTCGTCCATCATATTTATCATCTTTCAATGTTTTATGTCAGCTGCAAAAATAATACCTTTATTGCAATCTTTGAGAACTAAGGCTGATCAGGAAAGGTGCGTGGGCAAGCCCTTGCTTGTACCACGAGAGAGCTCCGCTGAGATGGACACTGGCTGTTAAGGGGCACTTCTGGGATCTATTTGTTCAGGCAGCTGCAAATCTGCCTCTGTTATCGTCTACTTTCGTGTTTGCTTCTAACAGCTTTCTTCTGACAATGGTGAATTGCATATATGAATGCTGAATTAACATAGTGATGATAATTCAGTGTTTAGTTTATTGAAGATATTTATAAAGGAATAACAAAATGAGGCACTTCTTATAGGCTCTTGGGGCTGACTGCTGTGCCGTCAAGAGGAAAATCTGGACCAGTTCCCCAGCCAAGTGTATCATTACAATGACAGATAGACCTAAAGTTCTATAATGGCAGATGGGGGAGTGCCTACCCCATCATCTAAGTGACCAAGTCTGCAGTGGGAGAGCCGTTTGCTACCAAACAGTGACTATCTTATAACGGTGTCCATTCATGGACGGCCCCTGAAGTCAACTCTCATCCTGCCATGACTTCATCATGATAATAGCCGTCATTGGTGGAGCACCCACTCAGCGCCGGGCAATGCAGACACACCTGTAATCCTCAGAACCACCTCACAAGGAGGCTCATCCCCATTTCTGGATTAAGATTGTCGGAAGAAACTGTGAAAGAACTTGAAATGGCAAGAGATGACTGAGAGCCTTTCAGCGGGATGCTGGGGCTGTCGGGCAGATCCTTCAGGGTTAACATTTATAAGTGATAGAATGCAAGTGATTCTTGTCCATGGAAATGCAACTAATTTTTTCATATAGAGATGCAATTGATTTCCACCCTGTAGAAAAGAGGATTTCAAACATGACACTTTAGTGCCCATAGATATTAATCTGTTAATAAATTCATCTTGGTACCTAACAGGTACTAATAGCAAATTGTTTCAATTTTCCATCTACCAGCAACTTCATTTCAGCATTCACGACTGCTTATATGTCTGTTCCTCAGATTCTCTTTTGAATCAATGGAACACGTTGTTGGTTCTCTCTTTAATTAATGAATTAAATGCTGTCTTTGACACTTGTCCATATTATATTTGTGTGAGAGTCATGGTTTTAGCATTTTGAGGATTTTCCTTTAACGATAATTAACAACTGTGTGGCTGTCTGGGTGATATTCCCTCAGAGATCCTCCCCAGGAAGCCACACCCCAAACACCCCCTCCCTGTGCTCACCAGGGCCCTGAACGCTTTAGCAGGAACGCAACCTCTCCCTCCTCTGGTGCCTACAAAGGCGCAGCCCGTCAGAGTCTGCGCTGAGTCTAAACAGGACTTGAAGAGCAGTTTCCGACGCTGAAAAGCCAGCGGCCAGGTATTTCCTGGCAGCGAGAGCAAAAGCAGGAAGACAGAGGGAGAAGGGAACAGCCCCACACCCCACGGTCCCAGAACAAATCTGAGCCTCCTCAGTTTCAGCAAGACCTGTGCGCCTCAGTGATTCCATCCACCCGAAGCTTTGGATAAAGGACAGGAAGGAAGGGTGGCCACAGGGCCTTTGCATCCGCCAGGGCTGCAGATCTCCCAAGCAATCCACAGGGATAAGTTGGTGCACACGCGTGAATCTTCCACTGTGGTTTTGAGGATTTCTTTATAACCATCTTGCTTCAAGAATGAAAGAGTGACGTCAGGAAGAAAAAACAGTGAATCCTAGGACTTGTTGCCCCAATTAATCAGGAAGACACGTGAGAGCATGAGTGAGTGATAATTCACACCTGTTGTGTTTCAATGTTGACCGTGAGCCTGAGTGTAGACGACTCTCACTGAAGCACAAAATCTCTTTACACAATAGCTCTCGGTCCCGAATATTTCACTGCATCTTTTCTTTAAGGAAATTACTTATAAGGAAATGTTAAAAAGTAATCTCCCTGGGAAATAAGTACAAATCTCATGAAAAATAAATCTGGGTTAGTTGAGGTATTATGGATCCATCCCCATAGGAGCAGAAGCTGTGAAGTCCTTTTCCTTTTCAAAAACAAACACTCACCTTCCAGTCGGTGGATGTACAGCCCGGTAGGGCCCTGTAGCCCGGCTGCCGGCAGTCAGCAGGATTTCCGGGTCGTCCTGGGTTTAGAGGGGACTCACTCTCACTCTCCCTTCAAAGGTCCGGGGGTTTCCACTGTTGAGGGGGAGCTTCCAGAGGCTTTAAGAACTTGTTT